CCCCCCCGCTCGGAGCAAGCGATTAAGTGTTTGAATTTAAATATTGCACTCCTCCCTTTTTTTGTTATTCGACATTCCTACCACGTTCTGAGGCATTATTCGATAACTTGAAAGTAATCATCAATAATTATCTACAAATAATCCCAAGCACAGACGGTCTCAAGCCCGCTCACAGTACGCTCAGAAATGCGGAAGCAGAATTCAATTTTTCCGAATAATTATTTCGGAGCCTTTCCCCGTTCCTAAAAGCACCAAGCCACCCCCAACGCCAGCTCTCGCCTCTCACAGCAGTCACGGGTGCCAGGGCTGTTCTCGAACCGCTCCGGCTCTTTTGTGCAACTTAACTGCTTTGGTTTATAATTTAGTTTTTCAAAAAAAACATCTCAGCGGAGCATCGTGTTGCCGGTTTTTGACCAAAAACAGCAGATCAGAGCATTCAGAACTGGGATCGACCAATGGAAACGCAAGGCGCTTCAGAGGAGATCCCACACCAACAATCCTATTACACTGGCAATGTCACAAAACTGCCAAAATGGGCTTTAAAAATCATCTCCAAGAGAGGCTACTTTTGAAAAACTTAAAACTATACTATATAAACATTTTTAATTTAAACAAAAACTACTATTTCCACATAAACTGATTTTGAAGTCTACCAGAACAGAGTTCTACTTTGGGTTCATATTTTAAACAGTAATACTCTATTAATTTTCTGAAATAGGTGAGTAAAGTGCAGCAGAATGGTGAAAAAAAAAAAAAAACCCAACACCCACCCTTTTTTTTTTTGCGTAAGTGTAGCAAACTCCACAATCTAAATCTTTTAAAAATATAGTGTCTGATACTACGATTGCAGAGACTTGTCATGTAAAAATGCTGTAAAAACCCCACAATAATATTTGTAAGTCTAGAGCCCATCTCAAACAGTTCGTAATTATTTTAACTGGGAGTGAAATCTGAAGTTTGTTATGACACTGAAATATCACCAACACTACAACAAAACATGATCAAATTGGGGTGGAACCTCAACCCACCTGAAAATTAAATGCACCTATAACTTCTCTACTCTACACGGGCAAGGAAGGCACAGGCAGCTGCTTTGAGAAAGTAACACCGTACTGTGAATAACAAAAGAAAAGAAAATAATAAAAATACCCTGTGTCAAAAGTCAAATATATTCTGGTATTATGTTTTGTATTATTCCTCCCCACACACTTACACATCTTGATTAACAGAATTAGGCTGTGAAGATCTGCCTCGGACACAATTGATGTCTCAGTGTCTGGATAAAGGCAGAGCTTGGATAAATATAATTTCATAAAGCAAATTAAACCCCTGGGGTTAAGGTATGTTGAATTGTTTCTTTATGAAGCAAATCCATTTGATAGCAAAAGTCCTATTTATTAAGGACTCCTCCCTAAGAAAAAAAAAAAAAAAAAACATCAATCCACAAGAGACTGTATAATGCAATTTCATTGAGGGCACCCAAAAACCTGTTTCTGACTGACAGATGTTCAATTTAATAAAGGCCTGGACTAGAAGATCTGGTTGTCTCTCCCTTCTTCTGCTCTCCCATCAGTTCGCAGTGTTTCTCCTTGAAATGTGATGCCTTTTCCTGAGGCTGTTTTTCTACTAGACTGCATCAATTGCTTCCCTTCAATTAGCAATGGCAGCTTTACTTGTAATTGGAAGGATTAAAATTGAGGCTGTTGAGAGCTACGCAGGTCTCATGTAACTGCTTAGTAAATATAGTAATTTCTAGTTAGTGGGTTTTTAAAAAAAAATTAATGATCTTTTGTACTTAACCTAGAGCTTTGGAAGACATTAATTAAAGAAATACCTTTCCCGTTGAAAAAAGTTTGAATCAAAGCATCCAGTAAGAAATCAGAGTGTGATCTAGTGAAAGATGAACTGGCAAGGCTCTTGACAGGCTGGTAGGTTTTACTCTGTAAAATAAGAATATGTAGAGACAAATTAAACAGAAAGCGCAATTAAAAAAACCCAACAAAAATATTGTCTTTGAAATTAAACATTTAAAAAAAAAAACTGGGTACAGAGGGACTTATGGTTGGTCTCGGACTTAATCAGCAGTTGGCTGTATCAGATATCCAGTAAAAGCAATAAGCCATCTCTTTGAATCTCCACTCATGAGCCAACAGCAGACCAGAAGTTAAATTAAGGTCTCCTTAGTATCATCGGTAATTATGTTACTTTATCCTAGCTCCTGCTGACAGAACCTAACACACACAAGCGTTTCCTTTTGTCTTTGTGAATGGACCCAATTTGTCCGACTGTAGACTCCAAACAAACAGATGTATGAAGAGACCAACCCTCTAAATTTAATGACTAGTTTTAGTACTTAGCAGTCGTCTAACAATCTGAAACTTCTCTTTTCTTGGCAGAGACAACTTAATGGGGAGAAGTAATACACTAGTGTGAAGCAATGCACTTCTGACGAAACCATCTACACACAAACGCCAGCAGCATTAAAGAAACGAACGTACAACATGGTCTTAACAGGATGGCAAAGGTAGTTGAGCCTTGATCCTCATCCTCTCCCTTCGGAACAACCGCCTGTCCTCGTCACACTCTTCCTTCATATCCACACTGCTGCCACTGCCCAGCTCAGCGCCAACCGAACTGAAGCCTATATTCCTTGTAAGAGGGGACCTGCACCCAGATGGGCTCCACGCCCCTCTTGCAACAGTCCCCATACAGCGAAGAGGTCACCGACAGCAAGCTTACCACCATGCTTCAGTCACCACGCATGGCTTGCTGGGGATGGCCTAGACCCTGCGCTATAAGAAGTCCTATATTCCAAAGGGCTTACTCACACACGCTTAACTATTACTGTATCACTTACATTTGGATTTGCAGTAAGCATGAACTTAGCAACTACTGTTTAATAATTTATTAATTTTTCCCATTAAATGGTACATTCACTCAAGAAGACTTAAACAATTTTCTGGTAATTTTATTTACAGTCTGCAGTCCTGTAAAACACAGTAATGATTACAGACTAAAACACACAACATACATATTTTCAAACATTTAAATAAGCACAGTTTATTCAAAAGTAATTCTACACACTACTTTTTCCATAAAAATATAAAAAATAGTTTAGTTACTATATTTTACCTAAACCAAGATATTTAAGAATTCTTCCACATGTGATGCCCGCTCCCTAAAAAAGGGCACTCCAATGATAAGAAATTTAGGAGACTGCATCACAAAATAAAATACTAATGCCAACTGCTTCAATCCACCAAAAGAACAAATAACTTTCAATCTGAAACCAGCAATACTTGTTCTGCAGTATGTCTGAATTTTGTTTTTGTTGGGGGTTTTTTTGCACTAACTTGCTTCTCCCATGCCAGATTTTCACAGACACGTACACACTACTACATAAAAATAACGGACTGATTGTACTGCAGACTATAATGCCAGTCACCATGTGCCCAACAACACGGATTGGTAATCTTGCATTACACAACAATTTTTTGCAAAAATATCAAAAGGGAAACAATTTCCTTTGGGACATCTATTTAAAGGCGACTCCTTTTCTTACTGAGCATCCAGTGAAAATAGCCTTTTTCCTACCTCCTTGAAAATAGTGCCCATTTTTGTTTGTTACTACTATTTCTCTGGTTTCACTGACCATATTCTGTATGGAAAGCTAATGGAGTTCCGAAAAACACCCACTCAAGCCCTTCTCTCACTAGGATACATTTAATTTACAAAAAAAAAGGCACAAAGATGAAACCCCTAAGCAGCATCAGTCACAATTCTTCCACTGTGCACTGCTCCTCTTTCTTACACAGACACTGCTGCAAGAGAGACTCTGTCTCGCAGAAAATACTACAAATACATGAGCTACAGAAACAGGCGAGTTGAAAAGACTAAAGCCTCTGTACAGTACAAGTAGTATACTGATCATTAACAAATGAACACTATTTAAAGTTTTATGTTGCAGTTAAGACTCGACCTGGAAGCATCAGGAAAAGCCATCAGAAAAAAAGCTCAGCAGCATATAATACATTTGTTAACAGTGAGATGGAAGGCCCTCTGTGTGCAACATTGTGCATTCAATTTCAACAATGACAGTGCTCTACAGCCAGCAGTGTAAAACTTTTGCTTCTCATAGTTTAGAGGATTTTCTAAATGTAAGTGGAGCTGTCATAAACAGAGTACTAGCATATGATGCACAGCATGATCTGCAATAAAAAGCTTTTGCTTTCCAGCATGTAAACATCCAGGTTACTGGACCTTAGCTCATATAAACAAATCTGATGATAGATTTTTGAACTAAAAAAGTAAAATTTTCCATAAAAGGATAAACCACAAAAATACTCTTTCAGCAAGTCTCACGTGCCATTTAATACCTTTCATGTCCTATGAACAACTATGCAAAACATTTAGAAAGTTTTAGCAGTAGAAATGTCGACCAGTTAAACTGTTTGGCAACCATGTGCTCAAAACATCTTTGAAGAGCGTTATCATCCACTAAACAACAGTTCTAGACTGTACCACACTATTTCTTCTTCTTTTTCTTTGGTGGCTCATCATCAGAACTACTGTCTGTGCTGCTGCTGCTACTGCTGGAGGAACTAGAATCCGATTCGAACTCTGAAGAAGAGGAAGTACTACTTGAGGATGGAGAAGATGAGGAAGTAGAGGAGCTCTCATCACTGTCACTATCATCATCAGAAGAAGAGGTAGAAGAATCTTCACTGTCAGATGAGGAATCACTAGCTGAACTGGCACTGCTACTGCTGCTGGAACTGGTCACGCTTTTAGATCTGAAAGAAAACAAATACACAGATAAGAACAGGCCTGCCGGAGACAGCATTCATTACACAGTGTTCTTTATACTGTGTTGTAATCCAAAGATCAATTATTTGGTCTGAAAATTTCCAGGCCTGACAATCTAAGACAAATTCCCATGGCCCCCCATGCCCCCCCCC